ATATATATATCTGTCAGGTGTTGGCCTTTAAAGAAGTAAAAGAATAAAGTGCTGCTTTGATTGATGATGTGGGTTATCTTAATGAGTCAATTATAAGTCTTTGATGTGGCGGTAGCTAAAGGTCATCCTCAACAAAGGCTCTGAACTCTAATATAATGTCACTTTCATTCAACATCATCATTTCTGTCCACAAAATGATCTTATGTTATTTGCAAACAAGTTTTTTTTCCTTTGAATAACAAAAGCGGTATGCATGTAAAAAATAATAACCAATAAAATAAAACAAATAAAAGTGACTTCATACAGTTTGTGAAAACAGTGATTTAGATGTTATTATTTTACATGACAAAAACATAAAACTTGAGAAATCTAAAATTTTTTGAAAAGCATCTGTAAAATTAGAAAAATATTCATAAATAATTTATAATATTCAGTTAATAAATGATGATAAATTAGGAGGTAGTTCCCTGTCTCAAGATGATCTTAATTTAAACTCTTGCAAGTTTTATGCATTCCTTCAGTAAATCATTCCATGGTTAATCTTTAAAGGCCAAGCTTTACTTTGTTCAGGGTAAATAGTTGATCTATTTTAAGAATAATTTAGTTTTATCTTCTCTCTGCATGTTGCAGGTGTGTCCAACTTAATCCAGCAGGTGTGTCGCCTCAGCAAAGGTCTTCGTTTCCTCAATCTGTGCAAGACATCTTTGACTTCGAAAGGTTGGTTTGTGTCTATTGACACACTTGTCCAAGGTAGACTCTCAGACTTTTAAAAGTCTGTTTGTGTCTAATGATACACCTGTCCAAGGTAGTCCTTGACTTCTAAAGCTCTGTTTGTGTCTAATGACACACTTGTCCAACATAGAGTCCTTGACTTCTAAAGGTCTAGTTGTGTCTAGTGACACACTTGTCCAAGGTAGAGACCTTGACTTCTAAAGGTCTAGTTGTGCCTAGTGACACGCATGTTCAAGGTAGAGTCTTAGACTTCTAAAGGTCTGTTTGTGTTTAGTGACACACTCGTCCAAGGTATAGTCCTTGACTTCTAAAGTGTTTGTATGTCCAGGGTAGAGTCTTTGACTTCTAAAGGTCTGTTTGTGTTTAGTGACACACTCGTCCAAGGTATAGTCCTTGACTTCTAAAGTGTTTGTATGTCCAGGGTAGAGTCTTTGACTTCTAAAGGTTTGTTTGTCTAATGAAACACTTGTCCAAGATAGAGTCTTTGACTTCTAAAGGTCTGTTTGTGTTTAGTGACACACTCATCCATGGTATAGTCCTTGACTTCTAAAGTGTTTGTATGTCCAGGGTAGAGTCTTTGACTTCCAAAGGTTTGTTTGTGTCTAATGAAACACTTGTCCAAGGTAGAGTCCTTCACTTTAAAGGTCTGTTTGAGTCTAGTGACACTCTTGCCTAGGGTAGTCTTTAAATTATAAAGGTCTGTTTGTGTCCAATTATACACCAGTCCAAGGTGGAGTCGTTGATCTCTGTCTGTTTGTGTCTAATGATACACTTGTCCAGGGTAGTCTTTGACTTCTGAAGGCCAGTTTGTGTTTAGTGGCACAATTGTCCAGGGTAGAGTCTTTGACTTCTAAAGGTCTGTTTATGTCTAATAACACTCTTCCAAGGTAGAGTCTTTGACTTCTAAAGGTCTGTTTGTGTCTGATGACACACTTGTCCAAGGTAGAGTCTTTGACTTCTGAAGGTCTGTTTGTGTTTAGTGACACACTCGTCCAAGGTTTAGTCCTTGACTTCTAAAGAGTTTGTACATCCAGCGTAGAGTCTTTGACTTCTAAAGGTTTGTTTGTGTCCAATGATACACCAGTTCAAGGTGGAGTCTTTGATTTCTAAAGGTCTGTTTGTATCTAATTACATAATTGTCCAACACAGAGTCCTGGACTTCTAAAGGTCTGTTTGTATCTAATTACACAATTGTCCAACACAGAGTCTTTGACTTCTAAAGGTTTGTTTGTGTCTAATGACACACTTGTCCAAGGTAGAGTCCTTGACTTCTAAAGATCAGTTTGAGTCAAGTGACGCTATTGCCTAGGGTAGTCTTTAAATACTAAATGTTTGTTTGTGTCCAATTATACACCAGTCCAAGGTGGAGTCTTTGATCTCTAATTGTCTGTTTGTGTCTAATGACACACTTGTCCAGGGTTGTCTTTGACTTCTAAAGTTCTGTATGTGTCTAATGATGCACTTGCCTAAGGTAGAGTCTTTGACTTCAGAGCCCCATTTCAGAAAGCAGGGTAAGTGCATACCCTGAGTAAGTTTTGGGGTAACTATGTGCATACCCTGTGTTTTTGGTTTCAGAAAGCCAGATAGCAGTTATCCTGAGTTAAGTTACCCCCGAAACTTACTCCGTGAACCAACCCTGCTCTGTAGCAGGGTTACTTGAACATATCCTGGGTTAGTCTGACTATTTAGGTGACAGCTGTCATGAGGAAGTGTCAGACATGGCGTGTCCTTTTCTCGAGGAGCCTGTGGACATAGGAGCTTTAATACTCCGCAGAAATCTACGTCGGGAGAGAGTAGTCAGACCGAGATAAGATGTGTTCTCATTTCCAGACGATTATTTGTTTGAGCGCTACCGGTTTTCACGCTCCAGAGTTAGATGGACCTTCGTCTGGGTCTGTGGTCAGTGACACACTTGTCCAGGGTAGAGTCTTTGACTTCTAAAGGTCTGTTTGTTTCTAATAACACACTCGTCCAAGGTAGAGTCTTTGACTCCTGAAGGTCTTTTTGTGTCTGATGACACACCTGTCCAAGGTAGAGCCCTTGACTTCTAAAGAATTTGTTTCTAATGACACACTTGTCCAAGGTAGAGTCTTTGAATTCTGAAGGTCTGTTTGTGTTTAGGGACACACATGTCCAAGATAGAGTCCTTGACTTCTAAAGGTCTGTTTTTGTCTAATGACACACTTGTCTAAGGTGGAGTCTTTGACTTATAACAGGTTGTTTATGTCTAATGACACACCTGTCTAAGGTGTCTCTGCTTGTATGGCCCTAAACTTTCTCTTGTCTTGGTCACATCCTTCTGAAGAGGACCTAATGAAACACTACATACAGACTCATCAGCACCAGGCAGTGTCCTGTACACTTTTCTTCCAAGGACAAGGTCACAAATCAAGGTTAAATTGTCACACAAGGTCTTGTATGCTTGGTCTTTTGCTATGCGTTGCTGTATAACAGTTTATTGACAGTAGTATAAGGAGCTGATGTTGTTTAAAAAAAAGTCTTGACATTTCTATTAATTGGTACAGCATGTCTCCGAAGGCAGTAGTTCTTTAAGCTGAATCTGACGTAGAACTGAAGGGAGCTCTCACTGAGTGAATGTAAGTAAACTCTTCAGAGCTGAAGAGAGTTTCTTCTCATCAATGACTCCTATAATAACTCCCGCAGGCAGAGCCTCTCGTTACTGTCTCATCCTATTTACCCAGTGGAGAAATTAAATTTAATCTTCCCTGATACTTGCTGTTCTCAGATCTGTATGAATAATGGAAGAAGTTATGAGAATTTTTTTTTACGTTTTACACTTATTCTCTCTGGTTTTTATACTTCTTTTCCATCTATGTCTCTGTCTGTTTCTGTCTCTCAGGTGTGGTGTCTCTGTCTCAGGCTCTGTGCTCTAGTGATGAATACTCCAACTCCCTGCTGCACCTGGACCTGAGCAAGAACCCTGGAGTCCTCTCAGGGGACGACGCCTCGGTCAGACAGCACGATCCATCCAGAAACAGGAACACTCTTTGTTCCATTTAGATTTCTATTTTTCCACGCCAGCTTAATGTGATTGCTCTTCCGTTCTGCTGCCTTTCTGTTTGCAGAACCTGTATCTGTTCTTGTCCCAGCCCAACTGCCTGGTCCACTTGGATCTGTCAGGCACAGACTGCTCTGTTGACTCTGTGAGTGGGAACGTCAGAAGCGTTGATGTGTTTCTGTCTGCATTCAGCTCACATGAACTCGTTCCACTCTGTCTTCTGCAGCTATTTGGGGCTCTTCTGAGGGGCTGCTGTGCTGATCTTTCCTTTCTGAATCTTTCCAAAAATACTTTCTCCCACAGGTTAGTCATATCTTAAAAAAAAAACTAAACAATAAAGACACACATCTGGAAAGATGGATTGTTCATTTTACCAAAATCCTTTATTTTTTCTCATGATTCCTCCAGTCAGTTTCTGTTCTTTTTCGATAATTTTGCATCCTTTCTTGTTTAAGGAGACATCAGAGATAAACTCAGTGGAAATCACAGAAACATTTTGTTCTCTCTCTGTTGGTGGGTTTCCTGTAAAACTCTCCACATTAATATTTAAGCATGCTGAAGCTATATTTCTCATTCCTTGCTCTCATATTTAAAGATCCTTCTCAAAAAATTAGCATGTGATAAAGTTCATTATTTTCTGTAATGTACTGATAAACATTAAACTTTCATTTATTTTAGATTCATTGCACAGCAACTGACAATAATTTTTCCCTTAAGAAACCTACAGGTCATGTGCATAATTTCATTAAAAGGATTCCAAAATCAAAGTTACCCATGTTTCATGCTGAGATTGAGAATACTAACTGGAATGAGGGTATTTCTCTGTCAAATCCAAATCGCATTTTGTCAAATTTTTATGATAAGTTGGAAACAATACAGGGAAAATATATTTCAACTTGTAAAGTTCCAGTCTGGAAAAATAAAATTCCATGGTTGAATGCCTCTATAATACATCTCCTAAAGTTGAAAGCTTCTTCAATGAAAACTTATAGAATATCAAAAACTTCTGAAAATCGGTCTCGTTTAAACAGTTACCAAAATTGAATGATTTTCGTAAAGCGTTTGACACAGTTGATCATTATACTCTCTTACAAAAGTTGATTTCTTTTCAACTTTCATCATC